AAGCAACAAGAAATGCAGGGTAGATACTTGCCAAGATCTCGGACTTCAGTGCTTCTGACTCCTCGGAGTCATCTAGCTGGCTCAGCATCTGCTCCGTCGTCGGGCTGAGCTCCGGGTCATCCTCATACAACTCCTCCTTCACCTTAGTCGTAGTAAGACACACACACACACATGACATATTACGTCCACACATATTGCTTTCCTACTTGCACACCCTTGTATTTACCAACCCACTTACCCATGTTCATGTAGCCCCACATACACACTCACACACACACATACACACACACACACACAGGACTGCCGATAAGGCACGGCAGGCACAGGATGAGCTGGCTGCTTCTGTAGCTGGAGCACACGGTTACCAGCCATGAGGCTGTTGCAAGACCAAGACCTACTTACAGCAGGCCCGATCATACCCTTTGAAATCAGCTGCCTTCAAAACAGCTGCCCCGAGATCAAGTATGCAGACAGTCAGACTGGCACAGCACATAGAAGCGATCACAACAGCATTTGCACACAAGCTTTGCATGGAGTGGGGGGTCGGGACCTGCATCTATCCTCTGCTTCTTGCACTCCCTGTCCATGTCTGATGAACCTGGCAATGCAAAGTGGGCCAGCAGGAGTTAAGTCATTTGGCTCAGCACTAGCTTTGGAATCAGATTTTGGGTGTGTCCTTCAGTAAGCAACCTGGCACGCTAGTTAGCGGGAGGTAAGTTTTTGGTTTAATCCCTCTTCAGCAAACTGCAACGCTAGTTAGCGGGAGGCAGGTTTTTGGTTTTCTCAATATACAACCTGACACGCTTAAAATAAAGTTGCTCATTCATGCAGCAGACCCACAACACGTTACCGACACAAGACTTATTTGGTAGTTGTACAAGCAAGGTGCAACGCTAGTTAGCGGGAGGCAGGTTTTTGGTTTTCTTCTCAATATACAACCTAGCACGCTTAAAACAAGTTGCTCATTCATGCAGCAGACCCACAACACTTTACGGAGAAGGCCATTAAGCGGGAACGTTTTGATTACACACGAGAGTATAAGCAAGGTGCAACGCTAGTTAGCGGGAGGCAGGTTTTTGGTTTTCTTCTCAACATGCAACCTAGCACGCTTAAAATACAGCTGCTCATTCATGCAGCAGACCCACAACACTTTACGGAGAAGGCCATTAAGCGGGAAAGTTCTGATTACGCACGAGAGTATAAACGCTTGTTAGCGGGAGGCAGGTTTTTGGTTTTGTTTCTCGATACACAACTTGGCACGCTTAAAATACAGTTGCTCATTCATGCAGCATGCAGACCCATGCACAACACTCTACCGGGAAGCCCATGGTTAAGTGGGAAAGTTTTGATTACATGCAATGTAAGTGTCTTGCCTCATGCCGTGCTGCTGCATTAAAGATTTTATTTATATTTATATGTATGTGTGATACATGAGCAGTGTAAGTTACATAATATATATATAATACACATAATATATTGTACATGGTTTTAGATGCATGCACATTCGTGAATAAAACATGTTACAGTGTGTAATACGTATCGAACAACGATACTGATATCATTGGAAATGAAGTTTTACGAGCTTGTATGGTTTTGGTTGAGTGAAGTGATACAACATAAGCATAATTATCAGAAGTGGTTTTCCAGTGGGGTTTCCTATTCAAAATTGGTTTTCCCGCTCGCCATAATTGGTTTTCCAATACACTCGTTGGTTTCCCATAGCATTATCCTAAATTTTTAAATCTCACGCGACCTTGTTCCAAGACTTGGTTTTCCTATTCCAAGACCTGGTTTTCCAACGCAACCTCACGCAACCTCGCGCGAGGTTCTGTGGCACAAATTCTGGTTTTCAGCGGTCCCTTGCATACCAAGCCCTTCTAAGCTTGAAAACCAGAAACTCAAACAGATCTGTGCATATGTGTATGTATACACATATACATATATACGTACATCCGTATAAGTTCATGCATGTCAGTTCCGGTAGTGTACGTGGGCTTGAGCTGAGTGCGTGTAGGGGTGCATGTGTGTCGGGCTGTGTCTCTGTTTGGGTGTATGTGCTTTTGACTGTGTGGGTGTGGGTGCATGTGTGTATGTGTCTGGATGCTTGGTCGTATGATTTTCACCGCCTGGGTTGGTGCATCAACTGACACCAATTGAGACAGAACTTCTTTCCACAACACACACAAGTCAGACAGAACATCTTGCACCACCTACTATCATACAACACAGAATGAGCCAGCCGAGCATGCACCTTCCCCAAACCTTCAGACCTGTTTATCTTCCAACGCAGGAACACGAGGGTCTGTCGATGCAGGCTCGTCGTAAGTAATTAACATTGCATGTCACATGAATTGACCTCAGCTAGAGGGAGAGAGCATCTCGCATTGATTGCGGAAGCTGCAGCTTCTTGCAACCCCGTAGGTATGCACATACCTCCGGCATCCTCGCATCGGCCCAGGTATCAGAATCTTTAAAAGCAGCCAGCATAGCCACAACTGTAGGCTCCGTGTCCTTTGTGTAACGATCACTCTGCACTTTTACAGCACTAGCCAGCAAGTACTTCGACAGCAAAGAAACATGGCTCCTGTGCCGTCTCCCGGAAACCGTGCACACCCTCTGACAACCTGGGCAGCAGCTCCCCGATTTTGTAGCCATAGGCACAAGTGTAGCACCTGGAGCAAGCAGGAATTTGTAGGGACAATCCTTTTGCTATGCTTATACATTACCTCGATATCATATTCGCCACTTGAGGCTGGAACTGAGATTGTTTGAGCTTCTTCTGCACACCAGTGAACCGTTTGGTGCCCGTAGAATCCACTTTTCGCTGCACTAGTGGCTGTGCTGTCTTCTTGTATTCCTCAGCTCAATCGTACCATGATTCTCCGATCTCAAGACACAAATTTGTACAAGCCGACATACTCGACGGTAACCACTGAGAAACAAGTAGCCTTCAGCAATGCCTTGTCAGATTGCAGTTCGTGGATGAGGCTGCTGTTGCTCCAAATCATGGTGGGCTTGACATTCTCCTTGCCGTAGGCGCACATGAAGATGCTTTGTCGAAAGACCTGGTCCAAGGCAGCCCGGAGCTTAATCACCACATGGTACATGTGTGAGGCAATGCTTGTGGAAAAATCGAACGAATGAAAGCTGATGATTAGAAGAAACCAAATCACAATCAGCTTGTCACACAGCTCCTCGAAACGTGGCAGAAAACGTATCTTCGCACTTGCTGGTTGCTCCAACAAGAAGACATGACCAAGCGCTGCAGCCAGAAGGCAAAGTAGCACACACCTGGCAGGGTGTGTATATATAGTTGCAGCAGCAAGACACAGAGAGAGAAAGGAGAGGGAGAGAGGGAAAGAGAGAGAGAGAGAGAGAGATTTGGAAGAGAAGAGAAACAGAGACTTATGAAGACATGTGCCAGCTTGCCCGTGGCTGGTTAAATTGAAACATTTAGATACGACCCAGAACCTGTGGGCGAGCAAGTTCCCGTTGACAACGAAATCGTGATGCATATTGCCCAGCGGGGTGACAATGCTGCGTTGTGCTTGGGCTTGGCACATGTCTGAGAAAGAAGAGCAAACTGGGGCCAGCAGTAACAAACCAGCTGGCTCCATCCGCAGCACAGCAGCTACTGCAAGCCTGCACACCGGAAGACTGCACACGTTGACCTCAATGCCTCATTCTTAGCACCGTCCACAGGCTCGAAAGTTGTGAAATTAAAGAAGAAAAATACTACTGGGAATTGCCACCCGGCAAACGCCATGCCAGCTGCTGACGACAAATCATTGTACTTGCCACCATAGGAAAGATCCATGTTGACTACCTTGAAGTTTAACTTGCGTAAGGCGTAGGTCAAGTTGGCGTGGCCAGCGAACATCTCCACCACTCGCCAGTCCTAGCCAGCATATACAAGCATCGAAGGATTGTGTTTGAAAGATTGAGAAGGCAAGCAACGGCTCCCGAATACAATAAACAGTCAGTCCAAGCATCCCTGTCCAAGCAGAAGTCGTGCGTGAAGTACATAAAGATGACACATAGCATAAGCACCTCATTCAGTCGATATATATTAATCATTACACAGAAAGTCGGCAGTCGGCACCACACTGGCCAATCAATCCGAGCAAAGAGCCTTGGGGATAGAAGCTCGTCGCATTCGCAAGATCAGTTGGCCAAGGCTCCATGCCCGCTCTCGCATGAGCATATTGTCACAATGCGAAAAAATCTGCACTAACTGTCACTAACTTCGAGACTGGCAGCTGAAGACAACATGAAACCTGATACAGCACAAGAGCAATCAGCAACAACATGAGCGATCAGGTAAACTGACAAACCCAGAAGAGCTTAAAGAATCAAGGAAATGAAACATGACGGCTCACTCGAGCATCGCTGCAAGGGCACCCGCGAGCGCGGCATGAGCAAGACCTCAGCAAAGCATGATATCTTTGTATATGGCAAGGGCGTCCATGCAAGCATTCACAAATGAAGTTGTAGCTAGTGCCGAAATTTTCGCATCGCTCCGCACATCAGGATCTTTGGTCGTCCATGCAGCAGCACCTAGACATGTGCCTTGGACTGCACTTGGATACCACGCGGAAGAGTTGGCCCAAAAGTCATGAGCAAGCAACATCGTGCTTGGTCCCATTTGCCCATCGTGTTGACACGACAGCAGCACTGATCACTGTTGGCCTACAAGACATAGCCGTCTGAGCATGTTTGCAACTATACAATCAGGTCTTGCACAGTTCCTGACAGAACAATTGCTTGAGGTCAGTTTCCTGTGCCCCCCGACCTGGATTCTACATAGTTGGCTCACACTACAGTCTAAGCTATACATCAGCCAGAGATAGCAAAATGCCACTGCATTCAAAGCCCTGCAGAGAACATGTCTTCCTGAAAGCATTAGTCTATATGATCAACAGAATCCACAATGTATGTCTGCTGTCCCAGAGGAAACCTGCGTGCGCTAAGATATGTTGTTCTCAGTCTGAACAGGAGCTTTAAACCAGCGGTTTCTTAGCCTTGAGCTGGATATCAAACTCGTCTAGAAGGCGACCCATGGCCTGCTGTGCAAAGGTAGCCGTAGCCTGCCAATTGTCCTCTCCATGGTTCTCCAAGAACCATGCCTCAAATAGAATTACCGATTCCCCCAAAGGGCACACGTGCAAACACGATACGAAGAAGTATTAACTTCTTGGTTACTATATCACATACACTGATTGAAAGACATGTCTGTCATAACAGCAAGGCACAACTTCATTGGCCAGATGAATGAGGATGGTGAAGGAGACGAAGCTGTATGTGAAGCAACTTTTGCCAGTCGCCCTGTTCCTGATTCCCACCTTTGGGGCAGACCCCTTCCAATACACCTCCAGCCGGTAGTATTCGGTGTTTTCGATTAGCCTGAGATATGCGAGCAGACTACACCACATGCACAAATCTTCACAAGGCACACTGATGCGTAGAGAAGATCATACTGCATTTGACTGCCAACAACATCTTGACAGCCCGCAACGGTCTACATAACAACGTGAAAAGCGACGATAACAACAGTACCAACAGCAGCAGCAGCAGCAGCACCAGCAGCAACAATGACACCCATCACTTGTGCAGCAGCAACAGCAACTGCGACGACAATACCAACACCACCAGCAGCAGCAGCAGCAGCAGCAGGAGCGGGACAAAGCACAAGCAGCAACAACAACCCCCAATAGCACCGCCAACACCAACATCAACATCAACAACAACGACAACAACAGCAGCAGCAAGAACAACAACACAACAACAGCAGCAGCGACCGCAACAACAACACCAACAACATCAACAACAGCAACAACAACAACAACAACAACAACAGCAGCAACAACAATAGCAAATAGGGATCAGCATACACTACAACAGCTGCAGTCACAACAGTAGGCAGGTTGTTATCAAGAGGCAGCTTCAGCTTTGCTTTCTCCTTGTCTGTGACAAGCTGGACGTTGGCGACCGTCGTGGTAGCTGCTTCCTCTCCACCTTCCTCTCCACCTTCCTCTCCACCTTTCTCTCCTTGCTCATTCTCACCCCGCTTGTTCTGATGCTTGCGCTTGTGATTGCTCTCATCGCCTTGTGTTTTCCGTCCCTGCTTTGCTGGATTCGATGGGGCCGATGGCTCTGACATGGGCAATGCAGAATCAGGCTCTTCGGATTGGGTCTTCCTTCTCTTGTTGTCCACAGGCTTTGGCTCTTCAGCTGTATGCGTTGAAGGCTTCTGCCCCTTCTTTCCCATCCCTTTCCCCTGCTTACCCTGTCCTTCCTTCTCCTGCGAAGGGGCAGAGTCCTTCTTTCCCCTCCCCTTCGAGCTTCTACCGGTCAATCCTTCCTCCTGTTCTGGCTGCACTGGCTTGGCCTTAGCCTTGGCCTTCCCTTTCGCAGTACACTTGGGTTTAGCATCCTTGGCGTCGTCGGCAACTGGGGAAGCATCCAAAGTAGCTCGGGGTTCCTCAACCTCCTCGGTGATCTGGTTGCTTGGTCCTCTGCCTTTGCCTGCAGCACCCTTTCCCCTTCCCACAGCGCCCTTTGCAGCAGGACGCTTCATTATGCGGAGGGTCACCTGCTGCTGGTGGGTGAGGACCGGCTTTGGTGGGGATGCTGCTGGTTCTGACAATGGCTCACCATCCAACTCTAAAGATACAGCAGAGGGCGGGCTGGGTCTATTCAAGGGCTTGCCGTCAGCATCAAGAGGCGAGAAGTGGACAGTCGTCGGGGTTCGTGCAGGCCCCGCCGCAACAGGGCTGTTCCATGAACTTGGGATAGCTTTGGGCACCTCCGGTGGGGGACTGACAAGCTGCTCCCGCTCCTTCTTAGGTGAGGGGGTCAAGAGAAAGATAGGGGCAGGGATGACATCTGCTGCCGGCAGGATCTCAGCTTCCTTGGCGGCTTCTCCATCTTCGATAGCCTGTAGCTCGTCATTATCCCGATCCAGATGATCTCCCAGCTGCAAAGTTGTTGCATCTGACCTTTAAATCAAGCTTTGACCCACAGTGCTGGAAGACTGCAAAGCACTAGCTCACTAGCAAGTAACAAGCAGGATACATCAGCATCATTTCATTTCCATGCTTACATGTGCACTGACACATGACACCCAGGCAAGTCACTCAGCATCATTTTCCGGGTCCTGATCTGGCATTACTACAAGCCAGACTACGGTAACTCTGCAGCAACAAGTGTAAGTCCTCCTGTTGTGCTTCTTGGTTGAGCAAGGACATCTCCAGCTGCTTAGCAGCATCCTCGGTCGTGTCAAGTATAGTAACGAACAGGCCAGAGCATGCAGTTGTACACCTTGCTTATATTGCTCTGTCCCAGGTGCCTCCATTGTTTGCTCATCCACGATCTGGGTTTCGAGCTCGGACGGGTTCAAGACACTGGGCGACAACCACAAAGCAGCGAATTTGATAAATAGCAAGCAGCATCACTGACACTACATAAACAAGACTGTCACTACATTGCACATGCACAAGCAGCAAGCATGACCCTGCACCAAGACAAGAAGCAGTGCATGTGAAGGATTGCTGGCATTGCACAGATTTGCACTGTTGTATAGCTTTGCTGCGTGGTGATTGTTTTCGTGTTTTCAGCTAGCAGGCTTGTCAGACAAAGCACGGTGCTGCAATTTCAAGCTCCAGGGTCTTCTTTGGATTAGCCAGCTCCGCTTTCTTTTGCTTCTGTGATGCCACAACATCAGCAAGCTTCTTCTTCAGAGCAACCAGATGTGGATTCTTTGGAGGTCTGCCTTGCAAAGAATATAGAAGTCAAGCAACTGATGCGCATACAAGACAGAGTGCATGTTGCCATGGACAAACTGCGAATCATGTAAATCAACATGCGAGCATACAAAGCCTGTGGGCACAGCTGGTTCAGGAGAGTCAATGATGATAGACTTGTCCACAGTCGGCTTCATCGACATAGAACGGCACGGCGTGGCGATAGGAATCACAGGCGTAGGTAAATTCGGGGTCGAGCTGGAGCCGGTAGAACGAATCATGCCGTCACTCATCTCCTCATCGTCATCCTTTACAAGAGCCATCGTCTCCTGCGGCACGTGCTTGAGCAACGAGTTCGGCTCGAAAGTCGTAGCCGCTTCCTCCTCCGTGATAGGCTCCCGGAGCTCTTCGTCGAGCTCGAACATCTCCTCAGGCTCCTCATCCTCCAACACCTCAGGCCCATCATCATTGTTCTCCGGAAGTTCCGCTGGGACCTCCGACGATCGCCCATCCGATGAAAAGGAAGATCGCGACGACTTTGCCCGACTTCTCTTCATGAACCGAACATTCTGGGGATTGTTCTCATGCTGTCGGACAAGCTCCTGAGCAGCAACCACAACTTCAGCATCAGCTAAAAATGCTCCTCATAAAACAAGCTGCAACAGCATGTAGCTTATCCTACTTCAGAGCATGCAATCAGGACTCGGTCAAGCTGTGCACTTCCGGATCACGTTGCTGCTCGGAACGCTCAGCCAAGCCTGGGAAACCTATCTGATACCCAAGCAGATGCACATAACCAGAGCACACATAAAGATACATATAACAATCATGGCGAACACTGACTGACCTGCAACACGCACAGACACACACACACATGCAGACTTCTGAGGATGGGTCGTTTGTGCGCAGTGAGGATGGTTTTGATGCTGCGAGCTTCATCTTTCACTCTGGACTGTGGCATATCCACCTTGCTCACAAAAGCATGAAAACCGCCGATATGCCGAACAGATACACCCTGCCGGTACCCAGATACCAAACAAGACATCCTCCTGAGGCACTGCTCAAACATGCTATGTGCACTTGCAAGATTTCGAGGCAATTTTTGCAAGTGCGACAAAATTCATACTAAATTCATGCGAGCTTCCCCCCACTCTTCCAGCACATAAAAGAGGATGGGCCTTATAACCGGCACAGTGCCCAGCTGCTCGTGCTCGACAGCTCGTGGCACAAAATGACGAAGCAGAATCTGAGTAGCTGGGGTCAGCCAAGACCGTGCAATCTGCACACACATCTACCCACATGCTGGTCCAAAAACTGGCACTCACTACACGTGTCACTCACTGCTGTCTATGCTTGCAAGACACCCGGTTCAACTTCATTGCCTGTGCCGAAGGCTTCTTGTTCTTTCCGGACTCATTGGATGGCCATAGGAGGAAGTGCTTCGTATTTTCCGTGCGAGCCTTCACCTCTTCATCCTTTTTCATATCCTGCAAGTATCTAGCAGAGAAACAAGAAGACTCTTTGGCAGATATATGGATTACCATACATGGCAACAGGCATGACAGAGGAGTCCTCGATGACATCATAAGCAAGTGCCTTTAGCTTGGCACGGGACTCTGCTTCGGTCAACGCCACCATCGGCGCAGCCATGGGGTCAGCAATAGCAGCCATCTAAAACAATGTTCGATGTTTTCGGATGGACGTCATGAACATCAGCAACATGCGCAAGGTCTGGGCACAAAATCTCACGGAAACAAAATGATATGGACGCATGTTGGCAAGAATATGACAGCATGCAGTGCCATGCCACATTTGCCACAACGTGTCATTACAGCTGCCACAGCATCGTCAAAATCTTTGATTTTCACTGATTGACACTTTAAGGCCCAAGCCGACGGAGCATAGGAAGGATCCGGCCATCTCCGAGAAGAGCTCGGAAGTTTCTTTCTTATATCAAAAGTGTTGGCTAAGCTTGCTGAATTATACGAATGTCTTGAAACATGCAGTCTCAGACATGATAATAAAAGTCTAGCTAGGAATTTTACTATCACCCGTGTCCAAGTATGAGTCGACATGCATGTTGGGCCAGCTGATTATGCATAATGGCCACGTTTGGACACCAGCCAGTGTCGGAAATCAAGAACAGGTTTCTCAATTTCAAGAACTAGTTGAACCATAAGTAAGTAGTTTCAACCAGAAAGAATTACTCAACCAACAAAAAGAACTACTTTGGAGCCTCTAGGTATACCCTATACCATTGTAGAAAGCTCATAGATCCTTCAAAGGAGCCCTTACGGCACCCTAAAGCAACCCTGTTTTGGCACCTGAACCCTTAGGACCCTTCATTGTTTAATTCCCTAAACCCTAATTAAAGCCTAAACCTAAACCCTAAGCCGAATACCCTAAACCAAAAGCCTAAACCGAAACCTTAAACCAAAACCCTAAGCCGAAGCCCTAGACCTTAATTACTTATCTAACGCAGAAACAAACAGCGAGCCAGGCCGTGACCTGGAAGCCCCAGAAGGGCGAGCCCGGCTCTTTCGGCGACCCGCTTCTCGCCGGCACTTTGTGGGTTTGGAATTGGCGGGGGGTTAGGGGTGTAGAGGTCTGGATTCAAGGTTTCAGGGTTTTGGGGTATAGTGTACTTGTGGCGATTTGGGGGTTTAGGGATTTGTGGTTTAGGTTTAGACTTTAGTTCAGGCGTTTAGGGTTTTAGGGTTTATGGGTTTAGGGCCTGGGTTAAGGGCCTCCTGTGTAGGGTCGAAGGGTTTGGAGCAAGGTCGGGTATAAACCTTAGATTTTTGCCATGCACCCTAAACCCTAAACCCTAAACCGTGGGCATGGGTTCCTGAAAGCTCGAAAAAGGGGCCTTGATGTTTGGGTGCCGAGCTTGCTCTCGGATTTAGCGCGTCTTTGTCCGGTGATTTGATCGGCCCTATAGGGCTTTCAGGTTTAGGGTTTAGGGTTTAGGGCTTTCAGGAAGATTTTGGTATGGTTTGGTTTCCTAAGCAGGTGTTTGTGATTTAGGGCTTTGGCGTTTCCCAGAGCCTCCAAAACCCCTTAGTTAAGGAATGTACCTTCAAATCATATTAGGGATCCTATGATAATTTAAGGGATATTCCTTAATTAAGGGGTTTTGGAGGCTCTGGGTTGGCAGGTTTTGAACCCTAAGCCCCTAACCCCCAACTTCCTTGGAGAGGGTGTGCGGAGATTCAGTTTGTCATTGGGGCCTTCAGGGCGTCAGACTTCAGCATGGTCATGGTGTTGCCAGAACCTACGGTTTGGGATGGTTGTACACTATAGGTCCGCTGTCGTAGCCTACTTCTTTACAGGTTCGGGCAATTCCGGTTCACATGAGTTTGTGGTCGTTCAGCTTGGAGGTTTCCGTGGGCCGAAGTGGTTCTGCGTCAGGGGATTAGGGTTTAGGGTGGTGATCGAGTCTGATATAGCAATCTGTGTGAACCTTGGTGCGAAAACCATAACCTCACACGGAAAATGCTTAAGCAAAAGCATAGCCATCATGCTAAGATCTGAGTTTCCACACGTAGCAAAGCATTCTGTCAAACCCCTAAACCAAACCCTAGACCCCACATCGGTGTAGAGCGACAGCTGTGCGGAAATGTTTCGGCACAGGTTTTCTTCTTGAAAGGCTGGAAAGGGGCTGGGTAGGCTCTGGTGTGCCTTCAAGTCCTGATATCCTCTGAGAGTACATACGTAGTTATACGCAGTTGAATCTATCCCGAAACCCTATTCTAAATGTTCAGTCCCCGACATTGCCTTGCCCATCAAAGCCCTCTACAATCCGAATTTTGCCGGCCTCATAACATCCAATGAATTCCGATAGTCCACCCCCCCAAAGCTTGCAATGCCAACTCTCAAGCCTAATGCTCTAAACATCAAGGTTCGCATGGAAGCAGTTCACCCCGGAGATGCGGACGAAGGCTGACGCGAAAGGGTTTGGTGTTTTGGGCCAGGGCATATAAAACCTGGCACCAAGGCTACATATCGCCAGGAACTAAACAATTTCCCTGACACATATAAGATGGTATAACATGGGGAGTAAACCAAACATCGCAACTTCAATTCTGAATATGTAGATATTAAGCACATATTACACATGCACAACTACATTGAAACACATGAAAACATTTGCATGAATATAGATATAGATACATGGATAGTCAGACAAATAGATAGCTAGATCTATATTCTATGTATGTTAATATACGTACAAATATCATTTATCTGCAATTATT